GCCCCAAACAGAGTGGTTTCCCTTGTTGCCTCCATTCCCAAGGAGAGTCTTTACGGGAACAATGGATGGCAGCTCTGGGTGGAGGGTGGGGGCACTTTGGCAGGAACAGACCACATTATGTCGGGGAGGGAGGGACTGGGGAGGAAGCAACAGAATGAGGTGGCACAGGGGGTGCCATAGAACCCAGAGTTGGGGAGAAAGGATTATGCGGGAGCTATCGAGGAGGGGTGACCTGGCAACCTAACACATTTAGACTGTTGTCAACAAGCAACTTTTTCTGTGTTGGCAACACAGGGACACGTTGATCCGTGCCTGCCCTGCCTCTGCCCTTCCAGTGGGAGGGGAGGAAGGGGCTTGGATTCGTCCTTCCTTGTAAATGCACCAAAACTGGTTCCTGTGAGCGGCAGATTCCAGAGGGGCAGGGCCCCAGGTCTCCCTCAGTGGAGACTGCTGGAAGAAGGATGTGACTTTCGGCTCAGAGAAGCACAGGCAAGGAGGAGAGGGGCCGGAGCATGGTCAGCCGACTGCTTGATGACACCATTTTTAGACATGCTGGTGTCTAAGAGGCCTCCCCGCCTGGGTCAGTCCTGCTGAGCCGGGTTACTCTACCCAGGGGCCAGGGGGCCTGCAGCTGGGGGGCCTGTGGCCGGACCTTCTCTCCCTCAGCCTCCCCCTCAGCCCAGCTCTCATCCACCCTCAGGGCCCCTGTGCTCACATCCCCCTCTACCCCCACCCAATTCCAACCTGTCCTGGGCTTGTCTGGCTCAGCTTCCTCCTCTGCATAAAGTATTTCTTCTCTGAGATGGCAAAGCGTTCAGCACTGATAGCGCTCTGCTTCAGCCAGCGTCACTCCCTTCTCTTTCTCTGTGGATCGCCTTTCTTCTCAACAAACAGCCTAGGATCCCTTCCCACCGAACTCCATGCTGGGTACTCACAGTAGGCTCTCGAGGAGGACCTTCTGATTTAACCTGGAAAGGAGGCAAGATTCGAGGATATACCGTTGTTGGGGACTTTAATGCCAGCTGCTGACATCTTGGGTGTTCTCCAAGAAAGGGAAAGCTAGGAAAAAGAAGGCTCAGTTGATCCAATTCAGTGAATACAGAGAACATTGGCTTCCTCATTTGCAGTCCCCAAAGCACATCTTTGCAGACTATCTTATTTGAACCATACAGCAATATTGCAAGGTGGCAGGACATATCAGCCCACTTAACAGATGAGGAAATTGAGGGCCAGGGAGGTTAAGTGACATGAGCCAGGGCACACAGTCCAGAACAAAGGTCTCTAGACTCCTAGCCTAACACCTAGTATGTGCACCTGGCATCCAGGATACACAAGTACCCAAAGATAAGTGAAAATGGCTATCAAGCTAAGAGATGACAGACACAACTTTACTCCAGGGCAGAATGCCAAACTAAAGAGAGAGATGAACAGCATGAGGAGGCAAGGAGGCAACCACTGCACGCGGCTCACACGTCTGATAAGGAGTCCACTGGAGACCTGGGGGAGGAGACAGACAGGAGGGCTCACCCAGGTCCTCAGCCTCCAGCCTGGCTGCCCCGAGCCTCCAGAGTTCAAGGGGCCCAGCATCAGGTGACAAGCTCAGAAGAGTGACTGCCCTGCCCACAACCTGCCAGAAATGCAGCCCCTGAGCGGGAGGGAATACTGGGGCCTGATATGGAGAGAAATCCTTTAAACTGAGGCAGGGCCAGGAAAGGCTGAGAAGGGACACGACTCCAGAAGCAGCTCCCCCATGTGACACAGGCACTCCCATTGGAAGAATCTGGGACACACTTCAGAGCCAACTGGAAGAAAGTGAGTTCTACACAATGGGTTTGCAAACACAGCTGCACAAAACAATTGCAGGAGCAGCTTCTCCAAAGTCCAGGTTCCCAGGCCACCTCAACCCTACAGACTCAGCCCTCAGAGCAGTGGTGCCCAACCTCGGCTGCACGCTGGGATCCCCACGCCCAGGGGACCCCCAGATCTGTTCAATCCCAATCTCTAGGGGGTAGGACCTCTGCCTCAGCACTGCCTCCAAGTCCACTGGGCATCCACGGGCAGTCAAGGTGGAGATCAGTGTATCCGGTGGGCTGGGCGTCTGCCTGTCTGACCTGCTCCCCCAGCAACTCGAAGACCCCCAAGGCCCTCCCACTCTGTTGGGAACCTGTGGTAAAGGCAACTTTCCCAAAAGCAGGAAGTGTGGTCTGCCGAGCCGGCAGGGGGCACAGCGGGGCCAGCGACCAGGTGTGGGGCAACAGGGGTAGGTAAGGCTGTAACAAAGAGGCCTAGGCAGGGGCTCGCTTCTGGCCCTGTGGCACCCAGGGGACAACTACAGAGCTCCCGCCGCTGGCAGGAGGGGCAGCGCTCCCCAGGCCTCCTCCCCCCAGTGCCGCATTTAACGCTGCTCTTCAGACACCCTGACGATGCAAACCGCTCACAGTATTACTGTGGTAACATAACAGCACTACAGTCCAGCGTTACTGGACTCCCCCAATATTGGAAGTCAGTCTCATGCACAAGCCTCTACGGTCAGGGCGTCTGGATTTAACCCCCACACTACACTTCCTAGCTGTGTGATCTCGGGCAAGTTACCTAACTTCTCTGAACTTCTGTTTCCTCAGCTGCCATCTGGGATAACAATAGTATTTACGTCTTAGTGTAGCTGTGAGATAACGCGTACATGAAGAGCACATGGAATGATACCCGGCACGCGGGAAGTGCCTTATAAAGATTAGCTACTCGGCGAATAGAGCGTTTCTGATGCATTACGTCTCACGGCCACGTGCGGGCAATGCTGTAGGCATTAGGGGTGGGCGGCCCGGACCCGAGAGCTCTGCGCCTCCTCTCCGAGGCCTTCGGACAAGTTGCTGCCCTTCCCGGCCGCGAACTCCGCAGCCAGGCCGACGGCCCGGGCTCTGCAAGGTCTGCGGCAGCGGGAACGCCCTCAGGTTCTGGGCCAGACCCTCTCGGGCACTTCCTTCACCCCGCAGCTAGGAGCCCGGGGTCCCTAGGCCTTCCGACTCACTCCGAGAAGAGGCGCGAAGCCCCGCGCCCGCGGGGGACAGCCAGGCTCCTTCGCGCGGTTTGGCACGGGGCAGGTCTCCCTGCGCGCGCCGCCCGCCGCCCGGCCCTGGCACCGAGAGGCCGCGGACTCCGGGCCCGGCCACGGCGGGGCCCTGACGCCGTTCCTAAGGGAAGCAAATTCGCCACGGAGGGCGGGGGACCCCGGATCGCCGCGGCCCCGTCTGCAAGACACCCAGCCCCGGACCCTCCCCGGCGCGGGCCGGGTCTCGTTCCCGGCGGGCTCGCGCGCGCTGCCCTGTGACCCGGGCGCCGAGGGCCCAAGTCGGCACGAAGTCTCTTCCCGAAGCCCTGGCGCCGGAAAGGGAAATTGCAGACCGCGGGGCAGGCCACGCGGAGCAGGGCGATCGGGAGGCCTGGGTCCCTGGCTCGGCCCGAAGACGAGGCCGGAGGGGGCCGGCAGAGAGCGCGGGCCCAGCGACAGGGCGGCGCCCGAGCGCCCGCGCTCTCCCGGGGTCAGCTCTGTGCGCGCGCGCGGGGGCGAAGCGAGGGACCGACGGGGCGCTGGGGCCCGAGAGGCTGACTCAGCCTCCCGCCGCAGTGACTCACCGGGCCGCCGCCCCACGGAGCGGCCTCTGTCCGCCCGCCGCCCGCCGCCCCCTCGCGGCCAGCCCGGGCGCAGCCTGGGTCCCCGCGCGCCCGGCCCGCCCCTGCGCCCAGCCTCGGACCGCCGTCTCTCACCCGCTCCCGGCGTCCCAGCTCGGGCAAGATGCTGACAGGGAGTCTACGTGAAGACTCTACGGGGTTCGTTGTAGGATTTTTCCATTTCCTTGTAGATATGAGCATTTTCAAAATAAAAAGTTGGAGGGAAAGATTTCTGTCTCTCTGTCTCTGTCTCTCTCTGTCTCTCTCTCTCTCTCTCTCTCTCTCTCGCCCCACAATACACTTGTGCTTTTAAAAGATCAGTTTCTGGGCAGTCTCCTGGGACCCCCAAGCTGAGGCCAAATTGGAGCTGGAAGCTGGGACGGCCTACCCACCCACCCCAGGCCCCAAGGGGAAAGACCAGAAATACCCCTTAGCTTCCAGAGGGTGATCAACAAACTAACCCACCACCTACCGCTCCTATCCACCTCTGTCCCCACCTGGGATGCGGGCCCTGAGAACAGTGACCGCCTCTGTCCGGTTCTCCACCCTGTATTTTCACATAACAAGCCCTCAGTAAAAATGTACTAAAAAGGGTCCACCCCGTGGCCGAGGGTTTGGGTTCCTGCGCTCCACTTCGGTGGCCCAGGGCTTCGCTGGTTCGAATCCTGGGCGCAGACATGGTACGGCTCATCAAGCCATGCTGAGGGAGCATCCTACATAGTAGACCTAGAAGGAGCTACAACTAGAATTTTCAACTATGAACTGGGGGGCTTTGGGAGAAGAAGGAAAAAAAAGATTGGCAGCAGATGTTAGCTCAGGGCCAATCTAAAAAAAAAAGTACTAAAAGAATGAATGGATGAGGGACTTTGGGGCGCAACCGGGAGGGAAGCAGGCAAAAAGAATGCAGGGTCCTCATCCACTCCGCCTCCAGCTACACTTACCCAGAAGCCTCACCAGGCTTCCTCAGCAGTGGGCTTCTTGCTCCTCCTTCACCCCATGGAACTAGGACACCAAAAGTGAGTGCCCCGCCTGCGTACCTGCTCACCATGTGAGGCCCAGGCCCCTGGCTCCCAGCCCTCAGTCTGGCACAATTACTCCTTTCCCCTTCCTGGTGGAGCTGGGTCTTGAGACAGCAAAGAATTCACTGGAGATGAACAGGGGACTAATGATGGCGACCGACATGTACCCTGTGCCAGACACTCTGCTAAGCCTTTTATGCATGTTATTTTAATACTCACAATCACTCGGGGGAGGTGGTGCTATTATGTGTCCACACTCAGAAAAGGAAATGAAGGCTTAAGTAACAGCATAATGACAAACTGTAGAATACTTAGTTATTTAAGCAACACTTTCATTTAATTCCACAACAATTCCGGGAATGAGGGATTACTCCCCCACTTTACGGATCAGCTAACAGGCAAGTTTCAAGAAAAGTAAATGATTTATTCAAGGTCACACAGCTCCAGGCCTTAGACACCAAGTCCTGGCCCTCTTTCCATTTCCCTCCAGTGTCACACCCCCAGGCACCAAAAGTGACACACTCTTGTAATTCACTCCACATCTGGATCCCAGCACCCGTGAGTAACTTAACCTGCTGGTGGCTTTCACATCAAGAACAAACCTAAGGTGGTTCAGTCGTGTCCAGCAGTTGGTTCAGGCTTGTCCGGCAGGTGGTTCAGTCTAAACACATCTCCTGCTAGGAAGCCAGCTCCACGGGGCAAGGATTTCTTTGTGTCTGTTTTGTTCGCTACTGTCTCTCCACTGCCTGGAAGAGAGAATGTCGACATGTCTTGAGACTCAATCAATTTGTGTTGACTGAATGAAACCTCTACACCAAATGAAGCCAGACAGCCCCTAACAGACCTCAGAAAGATTGGGAGATAGAGAAGTGAAGGATTGGGGGTGGGGCAGGCTCAGCTCCTAAACTTCTCTGGGAAGAAAAGACTCCTCCTACCCCGTCAAGGTCAGAAATTCTTTCTCACATCTAGCCTTGAACTTATTCTCACATTCCCCACATCCTTCAGGGGCAGGAAGTGAGGTTGGTGTCCTCCTGGCTCTTCATGGATGCTTCCAGAAGTTACCTCTCACCACTACCGTCCCTGCCCACCTAGAAACATTCTTTAAGAATTCAGGCATCTTTAACACCTGTCTCCTCCTTGCTGTCATCTGCTGGTCTCCTGGCCACTCCCCATCCTTGCCTGAAGACTCAGCTCCTGGCTCACCATCTTGCTCTCCATCGCACGCCTCTCATTCTTCCAGGCAGCCTCAACATCCCGATGGGTGACTCACCCGTCACCATGGCCTCTCCGTTCCTGGTCCTCTTCCTGATGAGCACTTCTTCCACTGTAGCCGCCCACTCCTGGGCCACACCTGGATCTGACCGTTTACCTGACACTGCCCTTGCTCCCCAGGCACATGTTCCATCTTCCCACACTCTGGCCCCCTGCCCAGGGACTGCCTTTGAACCAGTTCCTTTGTGTCCCTCCCATCATACTCTCCTAACAAAACCTCGGCCCTCAATGAGCTGCTCCAGGCTGTACCAACAGAGCCAAGCATCACTGGAGAAAACACCAATCAGGCGGAGGGGGCGCTGCGATTTCTTGCTCACCACCCTCCAGGGCTCTATAGCATCCAGCCATCCTAAGATGTTTTTGAAGTAAGCTCCCTCTCCACTCTCCTTGTCCTCAAAAAACACTGCTCCTGGCCCGCTGGCCCCTCCCGAATTTCACCTGACTGCTTTCTTCTCACTTCACCAGAATGTAGAGCCAGCAGACAAGAGCTTTCTCCACTTCTTGTGACCAAATTCACCCACCTACACCAGACCCCATCACCCTTCTCTCTCCTGATACCACAGAGGAAGGGTCCCTCCTCCCAAAGACCAGCAGCCCACGGGAGCCCTGGACCGCGTGCTCTCACCTTCTCAGTTACCCCCACTCTGCCAGCTGCGTTGTCACTCTCTCCCCACCAGATCATTCCCTTCAGCATCAAAACATGGTCTTGTGCCAAATGCATTTTTAAAAGCTAAATAACCACCAAAACTCCCCTGTCTTTCCCTCTCGCTCAGGGCTGCCCCACATTTCCACCATCCTTTAGAGCTGCCTGCTTTTCTTGTCTGCACTCCCTCACCTCTGTTCTCCTTTCTGTCGGCCTCTGCCCCTACCTCTCGGCTGGAACTGCTTTTGTCCAAGTCACCAACAGCTCCACGCTGCCCAGCCCCGTGGGCACTGGTCCTCTTCCCGTCGGTGGGCACAGCGGGGCGCTTCACAGTGCACCACTCCCTCCTCCCTCGGCTCCTGGGCACATGCTTCCTGCTGCTCCTCCCCCTCCTCTGTCTCCTCTTCTGCTTCCACCTCCTCCTCCCAACTCCCAACAGCAGGGTCTGGTTCTCGGCCTCCCCGTCTTCTCCATTACACTCGGTCTCGGCCATCTTAGTCATCCCTGCGACCATAGATAGTTAAACCCTACCATGACTTCCTATATCTCTGAGAATAAAATCTGAATTCCTTACCTAACACGGAAAGCGCTGATGACTTCTGTTTCACTGTCACTCTTGCCTTTGCTCCTGGTTCCCTGCTCAGCCACCGGCTGCCTCTCAGATGCATCCCCAGGCAGCTCGCCCTTTCCTGGAAGGCTCTGTCTCCACCTCTGCCCACGGCAGGCTCCTTCATCCTTTAGTCTGAGCTCACATGCCATTTCCTCAGACAGGCCTTCCCTGGCCAACCTGTCTGTAGATTTCCCCACTTTTCTATGTCGCTGTCCTCTGTTTATTTCCTTCAGAGTACTTTTCTCAATTTGCAATTACATGTTTATTTGTTTACTGTCTGTTTCCCACTAACATGACCCCCTCCGCCGCCCCCACCTCCAGGCGCTAAGCCCTGAAGGCAGGAAGCAAGGCTGCTTCGCTCCCCGCTTGGTCCCTGGCACCCAGCACGTGGGCGGCTGGACCACACTCAGTACGTCCTACATCTTTGCTAGTCAACAAATGAGTCTCTCACTTTTTTTTCATTGTGGCAACAGCGCAGTGAGAGTCAGCCCTTCCTAGAATGACATCACAGCCTTGTCACTTGGTAGCTGTGTGACCCGGGCAAAGTCCTTTCGCCTTCTTGAACTTCTGTTCTTTGTGGGGATATGTTGCAAGGTAGTTTCGAGGATTATGTTAAATAACATATATGAAGTGCTTGAAGACGTAGACAACAATGACATAAGTACTTCATATCACTGTCTTCTACACCTTCAAAGAAATGCTACTGCTTTTGGGGCTGGGGAGGTCACAAGTCCCTTTGAGAGTTTGATCAAAACTATGAAAGCTCCCTCTAGATAGAAAAATGCAGCTAATCACAGGCATGCATATTTTACATGTAAATTCTAGATGTTCACTGAGCATCAGAAGCCTGACCAAAGTCACCAGGTTAGGAACTCTGAACATAAGAGAGAAAAACAAAATTAATATGATGAAAGAACAGAGTGTTGGGTAGCTGCTGGAAATCGCCTGGAGGAGAATACTACTAATAGATCCGCCGGGTCGGAGGCTGGCATCCCTGGTTCTACAGTGCCCTCTTGTGGTGGGCTGTAGCCATCGCATAGGACTCCGCGGCCAGAGGAGGAAATGGACTCCGTGGGAACGTGCTCCTGAGTCCCCTCTCCGAGTCTCCCCTCCACACTTCAGATAGCCTCTGTCCACCTAGCTGTCCTTGGTCATCTTCCCCACGGCCCGTCTCTGAGGAATTTAAAATCTCTTGAAGCAGTGAACTGTTTCCAAGGGCAGTTGCATCAATGGGTCCTCAGGAGACCAGTAGTTTCAGGGGGGAAAGTGATGAACGATTTTGTTCCCTAAGTTTTGCAAATTTGAAATACGGCATTGATGACGATATCACGGAAGTCTCACTGTGTTAATAGTTATTACGTCCTTAATCATGATTGCACTCAAAGTTTTCAGGACTGCTTTAATTAATAGGGGCAGTTTACCTTGGCTAATCTTGTTTTCCTGTCATATGCATGTTTTTGTTTATGCTTTAAAATGTGCTTTATGTATTCACACCGTTGAGCTATGTTACATCCCCAAATTACAAAAAGTCATGAATGGTTCAAAAGTGCTTCGTTGACTCATAAAAGTAGCCATGAAAATAGTAAGAGAGACGACAACTTAGAACAGTGATCCATAAACAGGGAACCAGATTTCAGGGTGGATAGAATATGTCCACAGGGGCTGGGAGGGAGGAAAAGGGAAGCGTGATTATTTTGCACAATAAGCAAAAGAAACTGCGGATAGAAACCACCGCAAGGATTATCTGGAAATTGAGCTTTATTGCGTAGCCACCTCTTGGCCCCAAGGCAGCATCGGCTGTGAAATGTCAAATCCTGGCTCAAAGTCATCAAAGCTTTTGTGTGGGTCACAGTCAGAGCCTACTGATTTTTTCCAGAAGAAGCACGAAATAGCATTTCCCAGAAGAAAAGTTTAATTTTGTGCCAAAGAGAGAGAAAGCCACCAAGAATATAACACATGACTCACATTTGCCCTCACGCCTCAGAGCAAATACAGGTGCGAGTCACGCCACGACAAACAAGACGGACAAACCAGTTGTGAAGTTAGTGACATAAAGACTAGGAGAGAAAGAGTTTTATCAAATGCCATTGTTGGATGTCACATAACAATGGCAAGCAGTCGCCATCACGTATGTATGTTGGCATTCAGTTCTCTACGGTTGGCTAAAATCCTCTTATACAGACTGTGAAGTAGCTTTTAAAAGGAGGAAAACATGAGGGCAAAGTAGTCAGTGAATTTTTTTCTGTTTATCTCTAAAAGTCCCTACTACTAGAGAAAAGTATCTTGTGCTGTTAGAGTTTATTTTGTGAGTGAAAAATACATGTTGGAATCAACACAAATGAGAACACTGGCTTTGGGAGCAAGAAGGCAGAGAGGTGAAATTCTAATAAAAGAGCTTGTCCCTCTCTCTGCTTCGGTTTTTTCCCCTGAAAATTAGGAATGATGATAATAATAGTAATAATAATTACTGGTAAAGATTAGTGAAGAAATCCATATAAAGGACTTAGGGCATTGTCTGGCATGTAGGAAATACTCAGTAAAGTTTAATTATTATTATCATCACATGAATGCCGGTTTGAACACTGTTTAATTCACAGAGAACCACTGAGAGTGCTCAGTAAACCTCCTGAACCCAATTTGGTGTGGAAGGAAATAAAAAATGTTTTCACCATGATTCAAACTGCAGTCACCAGACATACATTCTTTTCAACGTGTTCACGTACATTTAGGCAGCAATTACAAGAAACTGCTTCCTCCCTCAGCCCCTGCAAAGTACTGTCTTCAGAGGGCAAAGGTGCTCACATAAATTTCATTGTTTTGTTTTACCATTTTGACTAAGGTATAATTCACATAACATAAAATTCACGATTTTAAGATGTACACTTCTGTGGTTTTTAGTATATTCACTATGGTGTGTAACCATCACCAGTATCTAATTCTAGAACATTTCTATCACCCCAAAAAGAAACCCCAACCCTATTAGCTGTTAGTCCAAATTCCCTTCCTCCTTCATGCCCCCTGGCAACGTGCCAATCCACTTTCTGGATCCTCCACTCTATGGACTTGCCTGTTCTGGACATTTTATATCAATGAAATCATATAACACCTTTTGTGACTGGCGTCTTTCGCTTAGCATAATATTGTCAAGGTTCATCCATGTTGTAGTACCTATCAGCAGGTCACTTTGGCTCTTTATGGCTAAATAATATTCAATTGTATGGACATACATTTTGTTAGTCTGTTCATCAGCTGGCGGACATTGGTTGGTGCTACGTTTTGGCAATTATGAATAATGCCACTATTAACATTCATGTACGAGTCTTTGTGTGAGCACATGTTTCAATTCTCTCAGGTATATACCTAGGAATGAAATTGCTAGGTCATGTGGTAATTCTATATTTAATCTTTCTAGGAACTGCCAAACTGATTTTCACAGCAGTTGAACCACTTTACATTCCCAGCAGCAATGTATGAGGGTTCCAATTTCTCTACATTCTCATCAACACTTGTTGTTTTCTCTTTTTTTTTATTATAACTATGCTAGTGGGCGTGAAGTGATATCCCATTCTGGTTTTGATTTGCATTTCCTTAGTTACTAATGACGCGAAGCATCTTTTCATGTGTTTTTTGGCTGTTTGTATGTCTTCTTTGGAGAAATATCTATTGAAATCCTTTGCCCATTTTTCAATTGGGTTATCTTTTTATTGTTGAGTTGTAAGAGTTCTTTATATAATCTGAACACCAGACCCCTGTCAGATATATGATTTGCAAATATTTTCTCCCATTCTGTGGGTTGTCTTTCCACTTTCTTGTAAGTGTCCTTTGACCCATGAAAGTTCTTAATTCTGGTGAAGTTCAGTGTATCTATTTTTTTCTTTGATTGCTTGTGCTTTTGGTGTCGTGTCTAATCCAAGGTCATGCAGACTTTCACGTATGTTTCCTTCTAGAAGTTTTATAGTTTTAGCTTTTACATTTAGGTCTTTGGTGTATTTTGAGTTTAGATTTGTATATGGCATGAAGTAAGGGTCCAAATTCATTATTTCGCATGTGGATATCCAGTTGTCCCAGCATCATTTGCTGAAAAAGCTGTTCTTTCTCTATTGAATGTTTTTAGCTGCCTTGTCAAAAATCAATTGGCCATAAACGTATGGGTCTATTTCTGGACTCTCAGTTCTCTTCCGCTGACCTATGTCTGTCCTTGTGCCGGTACCACGCTGCCTTGATCATTGTAGCTTTGAAGTAAGTTCTGAAATTGGGAAGTATGAGTCCTCCGACCTTGTTCTTTTTTTTTTCTAGATTGTTTTGGTTATTCTTGATCCCTTGTAATTCTACACAAAATTTAGGATTGGCTTGTCCATTTCTGAAAAAGGATAAACAAAGAAAGCAGATTTGATAGGAATTTCATTGAATCTGCAGATCAGTTTGGTGAGTTGCCGTCTTAACAATATTGTTTTCCAAGCAATGAGCAGGGGAGGCCCACGGATTTATTTAGACTTTCTTGAATTTCTCTCAACAGTGGTTCATAGTGTACAAGTCTTGCTCTTCTTTGGTTAAATTTATTCCTAAGCATTTTATTCTTTTTGATGCCGTTATAAATGGAACTGTTTTCTTAATTTTACTTTCAGGTTGTTCGTTGGTAATGTACAGAAATGCAACTGAATTTTGTATATTGATCTGATATCTTTCAACTTTGGTGAACTTATTTATTAGCCTTAATCTTTTTTTTTTTTTTTGGTAAATTCTTTAGGATTTTCTATATGTAAGATCATGTCATCTGCAAATAAAGATAGTTTTACTTTTTCCTTCCCATTACATGAGTTTTTGAAATATGAGGTGATACTTCATGACGTTGATAATGCTAGTAGAGAGCATTTCTCCAATTGCAAATGGTTTGTTCAAGTACTGTACCTTGGTGATATATCAGAACCTATCACTCAGGACCAAAATGTCACAATTTTAATGTTGAGAATAAAATATCAGAATCTCTTAAAGCTAGAACTCTGGCACAATCAAAGTTTTACTACTTCCCAACATTTAATTTTTTTTTTTTTTTTTGAGGAAGTTTAGCCCTGAGCTAACATCCACCTCCAATCCTCTTTTTGCTGAGGAAGACTGGCCCTGAGCTCACATCCGTGCCCATCTTATACGTGGGACGCCTACCACAGCATAGCTTGCCAAGCAGTGCCACGTCTGCACCAGGGACCGAACCAGCGAACCCCGGGCCACAGAAGCGGAACATGTGCACTTAACCACTGGGCCACCGGCCAGCCCCTAAATATTTTTTGAAAGAATTAAAATCATATTATTGGATATATTTTAAAACTACTTTGATAAAATGGTAAACTTTTTGTTCTGCATATTTTACCCAATTAAAAAAAAAAAAACCACTAGAAATTCTACATTAGAACAAGAAGTACTTTCCAAAACCGAATGAAGCAAAGGATTGTCTAAAGAATCCATTCGCCCCCGCCTGCAGGTGGGGACAGTCACTCTGGCAACTGCCGAGCCTGGTCGTTGGGCAAACCACCTTCACTGAGAATGCTCCCCGTGGTTCTGAGCCCACATTCCGTCTGCTTATCCAAGACTGTCTGATGAAGCACTCGATGCTATTCCTTAGTTTTCCTAACTTAGTAGAAATAGAAAAAAACTGAGTGGATATGGGACTTGAGCTATGGCTCAAATTATCTGACATCAAGCTGAATGTAAATACTTTAGTGAAGATTACAAATAGTATCTTTCTCATTGATTTAAAACAAAGCCATTGTTGTTACTTTTTCAATGTTTTATTACATTATTTTAAAATTTGTAACAATTTAAAATTCATTAAGACTTCTGGCACTTTGTGTGTACCAGACATCCATTAAAACGGTCCATGGATGCCAAAGTTTGAGAAACATCGATTTAGCAGAAAAAGTACTGGACTATGAGCCTCAAGGTCTAGACTTTGCCCCAGTTTTGACCTGGGTTATGTTAGTCAACTTCCATAAGCCTTAGTCTCCCCGTGTTCGAATAGATTGGCATTTCCTGCTCTGGCTTCCTCACAGGCTTCTGTGAAAAACAAAGAGGAAAATGGATGCCCGAGTCCTTCGTAACCTGTAAGACTTTGTGCAAATGATAAGATGAGATAGCCAGCCCTGGTGGTCTAGTGGTTAAGACTTGGCGCTCTCACTACTGGGGCCCGGGTTCATTTTCAGGTCAGGGAACCACATCACCCATCTGTCAGTTGTCATCTGTGGTGGCTGCGTGTTGCTGTGATGCTGAAAGCTATGCCACTGCTATTTCAAATACGAGCAGGGTCACCCATGGTGGACAGCTGTCAGCAGAGCTTCCAGGGTAAAACAAGGGAGGAAGAAGGACCTGGCCACGCTGTGAAACAGCTGGCCGTGAAAACCCGGTGACTAGCAGCAGAGCGTTGCCTGTTACAGCACCGGAAGGTGAAAGGATGGTCAAAAAGACCAGGCAGAGTTCTGGGTCACTAGGTGCTGGAATTAACTCAACAGCAACAAAAATAAGATGAGATAATCTTTTAAAAGGCCACCTGTCCCTCTGGCTTCCCTTTCTTTTGGTTCTTTTGTGTACCTCCCCGCCAGTTGTCAGACAGCCCGGTCCCTCTAGCTCTGCATTTGTAAATCTGGCTTATCCGTCTCCCCACACGCCATATTAGGGAACAAACTCTGCTCGTCCCTGGTGAAGACAGTGGCCAGGTCCCCCGAATCTTGCTGTAACTCTTCCGTGCCCCAGGGTTTTCTGTCTCTCTCTCCATTTCCTGGAGTCCTTCCATAATTATTTGGAGAGAGCAGTTCTGATCAGTTTGGAGCCTCATGGTTCTCTCTTGCACACTGCACATAACCCCAGGCCTGTCTGCAGAGACCTGTCCCTCAACCCCACTCGGCCCCTTGCCCCAGCCTCTCTCTCGCCCCCTCCCAGGGAAAAGCACACCTGAGATTCTGTAGACAAAGACACTCTCTCCCCCACTCACCTCTGCTATAGGCCAGGAAGCTCTGCTGGGTTCTGAGCCAGAAAAGGAGAGGACAGCCCCACCCACCTGGGAATGGATTTATGCTTCGTTGTTGGTGGCAACCATAGAAACCACTGACGATTGTGAGTCAGATGGTAGTAAAAAGGATTCTTTACTAACAGAAGTTGCCCGGGGCAGCCCTGGGAGGGCGGGGCCCTGGATTTCTTGGTTTGGCCTCTGAGAACCTGCTAGAGCTCCCATACTATGATATTAGTTTATGCTAACAAGCACAGATAAATCCTCTGCCCTTCTTCTGGAGTTCCTTCTCCAGACCCCCAAGATTCCTTTGAGTGCTGAGTTCCCCCATCCTGAGCGTCTTTCCTTTCTTCAAACTCACCATGCTGTCTTTTGGCTTTTGACTTTCCTTCCTGAGCTTTCCACTCCCTGAAATTGTCTTCCCTCTTCTTTTTTACTCAGAAAACACATTCATCCTTTAGACCTCAGGCTCTTTAAATGTCAGAGCCTTCTCTGACCCATGGAAGCGTCAAGAACCCCCTAAAAGATGGAATCTTCTTCCTCTCTCACATCAATAAAGTCTGGAGATACAGAGCACTCTCCATGGACTCCTCAGGGTCCCAGGCTCCTTCCTGGTCGGCCAGTCATAGGGTGAGTCCCTCAGCTTCATGGTCCAGGATGGCAGCATCTGCATTCCGGACAGAAGGATGGAGACAGGAACAAGTGAAGAGGGGCCAAAGGTTGTGCTGGCTGCTATGTAAAACAGACGTCCTTCAGTCAGCCCAGGAGGACTCAGCACAATTGGAAGGCAATCAATTTCCGCTAACTCATATTCCCTATGGCCTCCTTCCTAAGATATCCCTGCCTGTGGTCAAAGCATCTGCCAGTCCTCTTGTCCCACCTATCTGTTGACATGAGCCATCATTGTACCACTTTATAAAAGAAAGTTAGAGGGCCTGTCCAGTGGCGCAGCGTTAAGTTCGCATGTTCCACTTCTCGGCAGCCCAGGGTTCGCCGGTTCGGATTCTGGGCGCGGACACGGCACCGCTTAGCAAACCATGCTGTGGTAGGCGTCCCAAGTAGAAAGTAGAGGAAGACGGGCACGGATGTTAGCTCAGGGCCAGTCTTCCTCAGCAAAAAGAGGAGGATTGGCAGTAGTTAGCACAGGGCTAATCTTCCTCAAAAAAAAAATAATAATAATAATAATAAAAGAAAGTTAGACCTCTTATCAACAATGTGCAAGAACAGGAGGGTGGGGACTGTGTTCCCCTGTGGTCAAGGACAGGCAATAGGGTGCATTGTCTGTAGAAAATTTTAAAACAGTAATCAACCAGAAGCCGGCTGCCCTTTATTATCACCGTGGCCAACAACTGTAAACAATATCAGCTATAAAACATTCCTCCTTGAAAACATATTTTATTGGTCTAAGTTCTACAGCTGAACAAATGCTGTGGTTACCATTGGCTTTCAATAAAAGATACGTAAACTTCAAATCGATATATTTTTATAACTCATTCTTTAAAAAACATTACATTCCATGCAGAATTTCATCCAGGAAACTCCAGTTTTACAGTGGGCCCCTCACACCTGCCCACTGGGCCACATGTGCCCGTTTCCAGAATGAGGTTGTGAGGTCTCCCTCCTTCAGAAGCATCCAAGCTCCTTTCATTCTAGGTGGGCACCTCCATCGCCGTGGAATTAGGCGTCTCTGCATTGAAACAGTGGATTCAAAGGAAACAGCGTCAACACTACGATCATAAAAACAAAAGAAGTAAATTGAGTGATTGGTACTTCTGTGTACTTGGACTTTTTATTTGCGTTTAAAATTTGAAACAGTGAAGTGGAGGGCAAATTACAAGTTGTACTATTTTTGTTTAGTAAGGGCACACGTTAAATGTAACCATTTCATTTCATGATTATTGCTGAAAATAATTTTGTCAAATACAAGAGGGAGGTGTTCAGAAATAACCCAGGCCATTGTCAGACACTTAAGTCACACCTCAGCCTCTCGTCCTTCCCGAGTGTTATTAAGATATAATGTTTGGAGTTTAAAAGCTTTGTGGCCCCAACAGAAAGACACCACAATGTCGGTTTTGATTAATCCTCTTTGAATCAAATCACCACAAACCTGTGGAAGGTCTTCATGTCTTCTCTGTCATGTATGTATTTTTGTTATGGGCACAATGTGAAATTAAGAAGAAGATATTTGGGCCTGTGTTGGGATGTTCTGGGTTCAGACATATCACAGAATGGGGCAGCAGGGGTGATGACAACAGTATTAATGCCCCAAATTGTCCAAGAAAGCCTGATTCCTGAGGAAGAATGCCTCGAGCTCAAAGCAATGCAACACTGAAGGTGATGATGCCCCATGTGATACAGATGATAAGCTCATGGCAGGGCTCCACGCCTTATCTATTTATCTTAAAAAATTCATGATTCTTAAAAAGCACCCGGGCATTGCCAATCTGCTGTGGGGCACACTCCGCACCCTCACTCGGTTCTCAGCGGGAAGACAGAGCCTGGCCCGCGCTCCCGCCGCCTGCCTGGGTCTGTTCTCCTTTGCACATTTGCATGACTTCAAAGAGGAGGAAGTGAAAAGTTTCACATTTACTTTCAACAGATGAACATGACATCTTTAAAGAAGAGGAACATGTATCAGAGGTACTCTAGTGTTTTATATTTTTGTAAACATTTATTGACGTGTAGAAAAAAGTTTCAGTAACCTTTGCCTCCAAATTATTGGATAACGGAAAGTCACGTTCTTTTTTTAAACTTTGGGTCCATGTCTCCTGCTTGCCGTCAGTCACCCATCACTTTTCGCCTCATTTGCTTATTTTTACCATTCCAAGAACATTCCTACTCTGTTCTTATTAGATTAATTTAACAACAATGCGGTGTGATTCTCCTGCAAGTGATGCATTTAACAACAATCATTAATACGTTTGTGAGTCTCCAACTTACTAGCAATACAACCTCTTCTTGTTAATTTGCTCTGAACCCTAATTATTCTAACAGTAAATAATTATTTGTCCATTGATGCATTCTACTTATATCATAAACATAAATAGTGCCTATAATATATCAGGTAAAATTCTAAGCAGTTTATAATCTTAACTTATTTGGTCCTCACCACAATCCTATGAGATAGGTGCTATTATCATGAAGATTTTGAGGCACAGAAAGATTGAATAACTTGCCCAAGGCCACACAGCTAATAAGTGGCAGAACCAGGATTCAAATCCAGGCTGCCTGACCCAACACTTGAGCTGAACAACTGCCCTCTGCTTCCTCTCTGAAAAGATTTAGGGAAGTCAGAGGCAAGCTGTCCTTCTCATCAGGGAAGTACAATCCCACTAAAATGTTTCTTTTTAAGTTTAATATTAATTTAAAATATATTTGTTTTTATCAATTTTACACTAATAATAATTCTAATGATATGTAGAGAGAGTGTGGGAGAGAGAAAATGGGCCAAAGTGTTAATAATTGATGACAGGAAAAGGGTATACAAACATCACTATATTATTTTGAAAAATTTTTATAAATTTTAGTTTTTAAATAAAAGTTTAAATAAAAGTGAATCGTTTTATTTTTAAATGTTAATATTGATAAGATGTTAAAAGTTACATTTAAAAGTATAAAGAAAATTTTAGATCTAAAAAAATATGCAAGGATGGGGCTGGCCCCGTGGCCGAGTGGTTAAGTTCGCGCGCTCCGCTGCTGGCGGCCCAGTGTTTCGTTGGTTCGAATCCTGGGCGCGGACATGGCACTGCTCATCAAACCACGCTGAGGCAGCGTCCCATATGCCACAACTAGAAGGACCCACAACGAAGAATATACAACTATGTACTGGGGGGCTTTGGGGAGAAAAAGGAAAAAATAAAATCTTTAAAAATATATATATATGCAAGGACATCTCTAGGTTTCCAAGGTTCTTTTGGTAATGGCAACAGGTACAAAGTTTGAAGACGATGCTCTTAAGGAATATTTCAGGAACCTGCCATGTGACTCTTTTGCTTTCACCCCATTGGCCAGAGCTTGCCATGTGGTCACCTGCATCCCCACTCACAGGTGAGCTCCACGAAGTCAGACTTTAATCTGGAGATATGAATGGAAGAGGTTTATTGGAAACATTCTTGGATTCAATCCCTATGAGGGAGAAACGAAGCAGGACTGGGCAGAGGGAAAAGGGGGAGGAAGATGTCATCACGACAAAGGCCTTAGCCAATCCCACAGGAAGCTCTGGAGCCAGGATGGCCCAGCAGAGTTATCCCAAACTGGAACAAGGGGGCCAGACCTTTATCCTTCCACATCAGCCGCTCGCTGGATGCAGGCCGGCCCTGGGAAGGGGCCAGAACCTTGGAGAAGCAGCTGTGCAGCTGACGCAATCGCTGGAAGGGGAGACTCAGCTACAAGCTGTCAGCAATGTCCTCCACATCCCCCTTTCACAAAGAATTGGAGGTATAGAGAGATGAAATAGCTTGCCCAATGTCACAGAGCTGGTAAATGGTTGTATCAGTTGTCTGTTGCCACATTAATGCTGCCTAACAAACATCCACAAAACCTTTAATAACAGGCTGATACTAATCATTTACTTTTGTGCCTCAGTCTGTAGGTCAGCTGGAAGGTTCTGACGATTCCAGCCAGGCTAGGCTGACTTCACCTGGGCTCATTCACGCATTGGTGGCCAGGAGGCAGCTTTCCTCTGCCTGGCCTAGGAAGGCATCAGCTGGGATGACGTGGCCCTCCTCCACATGGCCTCCTGTCTTCCAGAAGGCTATCTGGGCCTGTTCTCATGATGGTGGGAAGGTTCCAAGAGAGAATGAAAGGGCACAAAGTCTTTTGAGGCCTAAGATTGGAGCTAGTATGTCATCACTTCTTCCACTATATTGGCCGAAATAAATCATCAGGCCAAGCCCAGAGTCAGTGTGCTGGTCCCAGATGGTCAGAGGATGGTCTCGGGTGGCACAGATCCACAGAGGCACGAGAACCCGGGGGCGATCTACCACAGTGATGGAGCCAGGATGTGCATTCCAGAGACCTCGCTCTTAACCATCATTCCACCGCCACCTCCCTGCCAAATCTTCTATTAGTAGCTATTCAAGTTCCATCAATTTGCGTGCCC